CAGTGGCTGAAGCCTATAATCCTAGCTACTCAGGAGGCTGAGATCTGCAGATTGTGTTTTGAAGCCAGGAAAGTCCATGATACTACTTCATAATCTCCAATTAAGCACTACAAAAGCTGAAATAGCAAAGCACTAACTTTGAGCAAAAAAACTTAGGGACAATGCCGAAGGGCCTGAGTTCAAGCCCCAGGACCAGCACTCACATGTGCGCGCGTGTGTGTGCGTGAACACACGCGCACACAAACACACACACACTCAAAAGAAAAAGAAAAGAGAAAACCCCTGAACATTTAATAAGGAAACAACACACACAAAGCTGCATTGACAGCAGCCAGGACCATGTGACTTCAAGAAGAACCCATAAGGGCTCCAAAGAGTAGCACAAAGCAGCTCTTGCATCTTTATCAACCTAATAAAATTACACTCAATCCAAAATTAACATTTGTGCTGCCTTCAAAGTGTATCCAAATGTGAGTGTGCACATTCCAAATACATGCTGGGTCTCTAACCATGCAAAATAAATACCCAGCCTGCCTCAATACCACCCCAATAACTGACAAGTTATATTCTCAATTACATAGTACCATTTCAATTTGACATATAATTAACTAAACAGCTATAAGACCAAATTATTGAATAAGTAAAAATACAATATATATGGATACACAGATTTCTATGCGAATGCACACATATTCACAGAAAAACTAGCTTGTAACATGAGACTACCAATATTCCACTAATTCTGACCTATAAAAACGGCAATATGCTGGACATCAGTGGCTCATGACTGTAATCCTAGCTACACAGAAGGCTGAGATCTGAAAATCCAGGTTTGAAGCCAGCCCTAGCAAGAAAGTTTGTGAGACTCTTACCTCCAGTTAACCATGAAAAAGCCAGAAATGGTGCCGTGGCTCAAAGTGGCAGCACTAGCCTTGAGCACAAAAGCTCAGGGACAGTGCCCTGGCCCTGAATTCAAGCCTCAAGACCGGCACCGAAAAAAAAAAAAAAAAGATTCAATCATGTATGTGTGAACTAACAGTTTCTTAAGACTAGATTTGAAAATACTATTATGGCATATATATACATATGTACACACACACACACACATACACACACGTGTATATAAATGGCTAAGTGCAGACAGGTAAGTCTATGAGACTCAACTCCAATTACACGGCAAAAAGCCAAAAGTGGAGTTGTAGTTCAAGTGGTAGAGCACACCTTGAGCAAAAAAGCTCAGGGATAGTGCCCAGGCCCTGAATTCAAGCCCCAGGGCCAGCACAATAAATAATCAAAACATACCCTGGTTAAAATTTTGCAAGGGTCTAATAATGTCTTAAAGATATGGGAAGGGGAAACAAAGGAGGAGGCTACAATGCTTGATAAGAAATGTACTCATGGGGCTGGGAAGGTGGCTCAGTGGTAGAGCGCTTGCCTTGCATGCCTGAGGCCCTGGGTTCGATTCCTCAGCACCACATAAGCAAAAAGAAAAAAAG